TGTGCACATGCCTGTATCCACACCCCTCCATCCTTCCATGTATTGATCTATCTATCCACCCATCTGCCCATCCCCCCACACCCTTTGTCCATCCATCCATCCATCTCTCTCTCTCCCTGACACCCCTCTATCCATGCACCATCTCCCTTTATCCCCATATCCATTCATCCATCCATGTATTAATTGATGCCCCTCTGTGTATTTATCCATTCATCGCCATACATACCACTCCATTCACCCATCCATCCACCCCCGCCCTGGGGTTGCAAGAAACCACCCTCCAAGGCTTGGGAATCATGGCAGGGTGATCCTTCCTGCCCTGAGGTTGCTGGAAACCCCCTGAGGTTAGAGGATCACTACCGGGGCTCTCCCCATGACCTGAAGGTGTGGGAAACCCCTGGGTTCAGGGGATTGCTGCAGCAGTTCTCTGGCCCAGGGGGTTTCCCACACCCCGGAGCCCTAGAGATTACAGCAGCTGCGATCCCCAGGGTCCAGGGGGTTCACGCACCCCTGACCCCTAGGGATTGTGACAGATGTGATCCCCAGGGTCCAGGGATTTTACGCTAGGTATGTTGCACCCAAGCTGTTGGGAGCTCTGTCAGCTGATGGGGCTCTCAGCTGCAGGGGAGATGCTGCTATACCTGAAAATTAAAGCCCAGTAGCAACCAGTTATAAAATTAGGACACATATTTGAGGTCTAACTTTATAGCTGGTGGGAGCTTTTTATTGTGTGATAGCTGCATGTGTAGGTGGTCTCCAGGTAATTGTGCAGTAAACCAGTTAATGGCACAATACCTGTAACGTGGAGGGGGCCTCAGTCTCAGGGGATCATTTTTTTTCATTTTATACTTTAAAAAAATATATTGTAGCAGAGTTGGTAACAAAGAAATCCTAAGTCCAAATATACCTTTGGAGATATTTGTCTTATGGTATGGATCTGCATTTTGTGGCTAGTTAATTTAGTAAATGGCCAAATCAGAATCTTGGATTTGAATAGCTGAAACCCTGGCAACTTTCAGAATCAAAGCTAAATATACACTGGTTTCAGCCTAAAAGTTGTAGATTGCTGACTTCTGATTGAAACCAATCTCTATATTATACTGGTAGGAAACAACAGTCTTCAAGGGGAATGAATGCTAACTTGGAATTAGTAGTAAGAAGCCTCTTAAGTTTTACTTTATTAAAGGTTTGGGAAAGCTGTCAGTTTGCTTGTTGAGTACTTTTTTATGGGCCATAATTAAGTAGTTTGAAGCTTTCAGTTTTATAGTTAATTTAAAAATGTTCTCATTGGATACCTGTCATTTTTAGATTTTAAGTATTCTCAGCATGAGCTGTGGATGATACAAGATGTTACTACTGAAGCTGCTATGGCTGTAATTCAATCCATGGCACGATTCATGGCCGCTTACTTCACAAATCAGATACTGTATGTGCTCCCCTCACATAATGTTGGTGTCCTACCTCCACTTCATATCAAACCAGGTATTCATTTAAAATATTTAACTAGGTGTAGCTTGCTGTCATGACTTACTTTTACTTGCGTGTCAATGCTGCCTAACTTTAAAAGGATTGTTCTCTGTTTTAGCCCTGTATTTTTAAATTTTCAGGATTATTGGTATTAAGTACAAGATAACATTATTAGTTTTTAGATATCTTGGTGAGGATCAAATATGTCCAGCTGTGATGATTGTTGATAATGTTTTCATTTTTAAATATCAGCTTTCAAGTTGTACCTAAAATGTACAGTACAGAGTATTTTCAGGTCACTATATAATCAATGTTCATTTGTTTTGTCATGACAATTCCAGTGCCCTGTGGAGGGTCAGTAGAGAGTTAGTCATCTGAAATTGAGGTTATTTGAACCTTGGTGACGCAAGATATGGGCTTCTCCTCAAAATCATATGAAATCATTTTTTTTTTATACTCCATGCTAAAACTTTGGTTCACTTTGATTCTTACCCAAATAGCCACTACCTACTCAAGATTAACTTCAGCTTATATCTAGCTGCATTCTCCTTAACTATATAATGCTCTTTTAATTTTGAAATGCTTTATAATTATCCATGTGCCCACAAAGGTTATTGTAAATTTTTTTGTGCCATGGGAGGTGCTAAATTGGAGTAATTTGGTCAAGAGGTGAAACAGATGTAGGCTTTACAATAAGGCACTGATTTAAATATTCATAGTTCTCTAAGACCCATGTGTTTATCAAGATTGTCTTAAACTGGTATTCCATAACGAGGGCTGGGTTAAGTTTTGATGGAGGGTCAAATGAATACCCCTGCAGAGTATGGGTCAGTTCACACCTACTGTTTGTGTTCACCTCCTCAGGAAAATTCTGATTAATCCGAAAATATCCCACAGAGGGAAAAGTAGCACATAACACTTCTTCAATCCCCCTGTGCTGCAGAGGGTTGTGGAGCCCTCTTCTCACTACACTAGCTCCAGTGTGGCATATAAAGTTTGGAGACTTGGGCTCCTCTCCACTCCCACATGCTCCTCCAAAGGAGAGCTCAGGATGGTTTTGATACTATTTTCTTTCCTGAACCTTGTCCTCTTAACCTTGCTTGGGAGTGTGGAACAGCAAGGAAGAGAGCAGAACTGGTAGCTGTGTGACAGTGAAGCTGTTTCCAGGAAGCTTCCTTGTGTCTCCTGGTCACTTGCTTCTTTATTAGAATTACCTCTTCAGAAAAAAATAGAAAATGTCAGGAGAATGTGGATGGATTCATCTCCAAACACTTTGTTCTAGAGTTCAGGTTGAATGTCTGTTTTCTGTATATTTCATATCTACTTCTGATCAGCTTTAATTCTGTGTAATTTAAGTTTTTGGACAGTGAAATGAACTCATAAAAGAGAGATCTAAGAAGCAACCTGTTTACAATATGTTAGTCAGACAGGGAAAAGAACATTAGTAGAGTTGCTGTGAAATTTTTCACCAGCTGAGGATCTAATCTATAGTACTGTTCTTTAAAAACCTATGTGCCACATTATTTAGGTAATAAAAAAATCAGTTGTACCACAAAACTGAATGAACAAATTTCACACTGTAAATTTTGGATTTATCTTCGCTAAGATGCTAGTTGTATTACTATTGATGGTTTCCCATTATTAAACCATATCTTTTATTTTATAGACAAACTTCCTCGAGTTGTTCCATTGCAGCACAGTTTGGTCACCAAAGCTGTTAGAGATCAGAATCTGTCTTCTGTATGGACAGCTGAATATGCTCTTGAATTGCTCTTTGTTGGTGGACTGATTCCAGAGGCTGTATGGTTAACACACAAACTTGGAGACTGGAAAATGGCTGTTTCAATCAGTATAGCATATAATATCTACTGTAAAGCCAGTGATAACTTCTCAAGGTAAATTATGCTTGTTCGAATAAAGAGTCTCAGGATTGCTTAGTTATCATACATATTTTATTTATTATAATATGCTTACTTAGCAAGTAAGCCAGTGCCTCTCCCCTAAAGTTCATATCTCCAGTTTTAATAAATATGAGCATTTTAACCAATATGCCTTAGATCGGGGACTGGCAACCTATTGCTGGTGGTCTGGTCCAGCCTGTAAAGAGTTTGGATCTGACCCATGGCAGCCAGGGGGAATCAATGGCAGTAGAGGTACTGGAGAATTCCTGTCTTTCGTTCCCCTTTTTTTCCTCCTCTTTCTTGTACTTATTGTACCATCAAATTTGTCTCTCTGCAGAGTTGTTGGCCATGTAACTATCTGGTACCTTATTACAACAGTAAACAGATTGCAGGGCCCAGAGGAGAGAGAGCAGGGAGAGTGGGCAGTTGGTGGCTCCTGGCAGTGGCTGGGACACAGGCACTGGCCTGCCATCCATAAATGTTGCCAGCACCTGCCTTGCATCAGATTAATAATTTTATTTGTGGATTTATTTTCTTTAGAACAGGATAGAGAGAATGTCCTTGGCTTCTCCACATATTTTACTATGTCTTTAATGAATAGGTGTTTTGGTTTTTTTATTTTAGGTCAGAGAAAACAGAACTACATCTGCCATTAAACATGTCTCCAACACAGACTTTTCAGGAAAAGCTACAGTCATTTTTGGGACAGCCAGTCAATTTTGAAACATCAAATGGAGGAAGTGCTAAATACAAACAGTTTACAGGTACATAAAAACTTAGTGTTGTGTTATTTACTAAGTCAGACTTGAAAGCTGAAATAGCTTGCAACTGTCCAACTGATCCAGTAAAAGATCTCATAAAACTTGGTTTGACTTCAAGAATATTTTATTCACCAGTGTACCCAATTAGAGCATCATAAAGATAAGGTACACTGAAAGACATGTGGATATGTGGAAAGCATAATTGCACTGTATTAAGACATGTTACAGACCATGAAGTACCTACCTACAATATGGAACTTTATAGACTTCCAAAAGTGTCTCCCCTAGGCAGATTGGTCTATCCTTGTTTGCATGTCCCAGGAAGTCTCACTGTACAGAAACAATCTACATTACTTGTTCTGTTTTAGGTTTTGAAGTCCACATTTCATGTTCCTTTTAGCATTTGGGCATCATGTTGTTCTTTGTCTTAGACATATCCTGAACATTGGACAATTCACTCTTATATTACCATTTCCAGGAAATTATTTTAAATACAGTTGTTCCTTATCTGAGGATGGAGTTCAGAATATTAACTGAGCTGTTCTTCTCAGTAGATATTCCAAAACAAACAAAATATTTACTTTCTTTCTTCTGTCCCACACGCCAAAAGTACAAAAGACAATTGCATTCTAAATTTAAAAAATGTTAGAATTTAAAACTGAACAAGTGGTCTTCCCTCACTATCTTTTTCCATTGTGTCAAGTGCATGCAGGTATGACCTAAGGTAACTGGGACATGGTTGGTCTAATTTTATCCAAGTTAACAAAGACAATTTATGAGTCATGGGTCCCTGCCATACATTCAGATTGGATAGAAACCAGCTATAGAGTTGTTACACATTTTCAAGCATTTATTTTGTAGCTGGGTGGCTTTTTTATAGCTGGATAATCATTTTTATGGCATAATTACTTTGCACTTGTGGTTGGTCCTTGCATGTGTGGCAGGTCTAAATTTTATTGTGCAATTCACCAGTTAATTGCGTTATAAGTGTAACACGTAGTGAGTGCCTAGCAGATAGTGAAGAACCCATTGGTAGTACAAATTTGTCACAGTTGTTACAAAGGAGCTGAAGAAGGATAGAGAACCTGAGAGAAAACTCGGTGATGTACACATTGTAAGTATCCATTGGTCGTGTGAATTAGATGTTCTGCTACTTTCATCATGATTAGTAACAAAACTGATCAGAGTGGTGGGAAAAATACATTTAAAAACAGCAAACAGGAACTCAGTTTCCCTTCATCCTCACAAAAACAGCCATTCTTGCATCTGGTCCTGTCATGCACATCTTACAATATGGAACATCCTTACCTTTTCGGTGGAAGTAAATGCCAGAATCGTGTCCCAAACAAATACTTAATTGAAAAGATGTGGCAAAGAACCAGAATAAATTGTTAAACACTAGAAGCAGTTTTTCAACTTAAAATTTTATTTTAAAACAAGCAGGAGTATGAGTTATACATTCTGAAGATCAGTTTAGAATATGGTTATGCTGCTTATTAATTTCAGAAGGAAAGCTTACAATATTTGGTATTTTATAGATCCCATCGAAGAGGAAGATGCAAATGTACTTTTCAGTTCAGTGCAAGAAATACTGAAAGCAGCTGTTATGGCAGATGCAGACATTCTTTCAGAGACTTTTCAACTTTTGATGGACTCTGCCAAGGACCTCAGCAAAAAGATGTGTGGTTTAGTGCCTCATGGGCTATACCTTCCTGCACCACCATTATATTGTCCCCAGCCAGCTTTCCTCAGTGAAGTAAGCATAGTTGGTATGGATTGTATAGAGGTGGTAGTTTGAATGAATTTAAAAGGGGTAGTAATACCTTTTGTTCCAGCACATTCTAATTCGTTTTTTGTTAAAAGATCTTTATTCATATTCTGATGAGGTAACTTAGTAGCAAGAACTCATTTTGAAAGTCTCCATTCATTTTCAACTAGTGTGTGGGGAAATGTCTAGTTTTAAGAGGAAGAAGAGATTCTTAAGAGCAGAGATTCCACATATACCTTGTTCCCTTCAATCTTTGTACCCCTCCTAATCCTTGGCTTTTAGGTTATGTACTTGGACTTTGCATTTTTCAGGAAGACTGCAATGACCCACTCTTAAAAATGGAGAGACTTTATCGTCAAAAGATGTCAGGAGTTCTTCAGAGAATTCTTTTGCTCTTCCGGGCTGCTTGTTGTTCCTACCCTGCAGCACAGTGGTATATTGTACAGCTGAAACGGGCAAGAAAAATAATGGAGAAGGTAAAAAATAAATCTGTTTAAATGCAACTCTCATCTTTTGTAAAAATTACTAAGGAACCAAGCTTATAGGGAAAGGGCACAGTCTCAACCACTTGAAGCTCTAGTCTCATATGGTTGATGTCTCTTTCTCTTGTGGTTTGCACTTTATAGTCAAACTTTTAAAGAAGCCAAAGCCAACATAATAGGATATTGATGGCTTTGCCCTCACAGTTTTATACAGCCTCATTTTATCCTTCTTATTTGTGCATGATAAAATATCCTTCCTGTGGCATGATTTGCCACAGCAATGCCTCCATCAAAGAGAAGGAAAGAAGCCCCACCCTAATTGGAGACTGACAACTAAAGTACCCGTATAAATTACTGATCTGCAGACACTTCCTCTGCCTGATGAAGGGTAATTGTACCCAAAAGCTTGCAAAGAGTTTTTCCAACTATTTGAGTTGGTCTAGTAAAAGATATCCGATTTATCCAAAGAACCTTGTCTACCTATAAATCACAGCTCTTATGACCGGATGGGGAGGTAAAAAAGGTCATTGTCTCAGTCCACTTACGGCTATATATGAAAACCTGCTTGTAAATCAGCAGCCTCTGAGCACAAAGCACGGGCGTAATAAGACTTTTGATCTCTACTATGTACATTTGTGTTGACTTAAGGCTGGGCTTTAAAATAGATTCTAGGAGAGAATTGAAGCTTTTCTTAGCTGTTTATAAAATAGTAAGTTAAAGGGGACAGGCAATCTGTCCTGACATGCAACATTTCTGTTGAGTTAAATGGGATTTATCATGTGCAGGTGAATTGCAGATTAGAATTTTTAACTTTATAAGCAAATTTGAATATAGTAAGTTAATTTATGAATTGCCAGAAACTAAAATGTTCTACTTTGTTTTCTTTTTATACTTACAGATTCGAATAAAAGGCTCTCTTACTTCATTAGGTCCATTTCCTGAGACACTGCTTCATTATTCTAAATACCGTTCAGTATTCTTTAAACCCACGTCTTCTGGAGACCATCAGTTTGATGATATTTCCTGTAAAACAATAGGTTTGTACATAATAAAATCTGAGTAATTAAGTTATCCTGTGTTATATTTTGCAGTCATAAGTTGCAAGTACTGTATAGAGAAGCTCTAGCCTTTTTTTTTTTTGGCTTGAAAATGTCAGACTACATCATTGTTTGCGGAGTCCTATGTTGTAAATCTTGATTTTATCATTTTGAAAATTATAAAGTCTCCATCTACCCCTTCATCTTTCGTCTTCATCTACCCCATCAGGTTGGTTGGCCTCTCTAACTCCCTCCATGACTGGTTTGCAGCTCTGTGTCTAAGATTTGAGTACTAATTATTGCTGTTTGAAAAATGAGGCATTAGTCATTTTCCTCTTAATTATTGTTATCTATGGAGGAACAGTTTTGATTAACAAGTTGTTCTCTAGGAGTTTGGCTAAAAAAAGCATTTTTCTTTTTTTGTTTGAATGAAAACTTTCTCATAATTCTATGTTTTGGGGTCTTTTGGAGGTTGCTTCCGAGAATTGTGCGCCTTGTGTTGGATGCTTCATGTTCGTGAAAAGTTATCTGATAGCTGCAGACGGTACCAAACTGCCAGAGAGAATATAGATAATCAAGAGGTAAGTATAGTGACAGCACTGTAGAGGCATGTCATTACGGTACACATTTATTAGATCTCTGGAATCTTCTTGTACATGTTCATGACTTCTTGCAAGAACCCTTTCACACAATAGAACAAAATGATATCTGTCTAATGTACTGTCTCGTGAGATCTCTCTCAGTAATATGCAATTATATATGTCACTAAAGAATAATGATGTCCATTCACTGTACATCTTTAAAAATATTACAAATGATATTTCTCTTAGGGCTGTATTTTATATTTAATTTGGATAATGAGAGAGAGATCGTAAAAAATATAGCAGTTCTGCAGTTTTTGGGGCTAATCATAATACTTACACTATTTTTATTTTCTGTATTTAATGAGAACATTGAATAAATGCGGTTTGTAACAACAACCACTCTGTTGTTGTACTGGCAGTCCATCATGTCAATCTTATACCTAAAATAAGTATAGGTTGGGTCTCTAGTGCTGCAAGAAAGTAGAAAAGAAAAGAAAAAACCAGGCTGAGTTTAGAGCAAGTTTCATATTCATTATTTTATCATCCAATAGCATCATGGCTCAAGGAAGAGGAAAGAAGACAGAAACTTTGCAGCATATTGGATGTTGTGTGTCTTCTGTAGCAGTTTTGAGGTTGATTTTTTGTCCTGTCTACACTATCAGTTAACTAATTTTCAGAAATGTTAGAAGTGTGAGAGGAACCCTGATGCTGTTGTCAGCAGTGGGTCATTTTCTCATATTATAAATAAGATCAAAATCTTTTCACAAGAAAACAAAAGTTAAAAATTAAAAAAAATGAAAATTCTATATGAAATACTAATGGAACCCAACTGACTCTGCCTTATGCAAGGTAGACGAGTGAGATATGAGTGGTTGTTTCAAAACAAAGCTGATCCATCTCAAAAGGCCTCCTAATTACATACTGCTTATGGTTTTTCTACTCTGAAAGATAGAATTCATAACGATACAGGACATTCTGCCATAGTATTTTCTATTTTGGCAGCACACATAGTTAATACCCTCTTGTATTCTGTAAACTCATATTCAGGTCATCACCTGCAGCACCAGTACTGCACCCTAGCCAGTAATTTTCCATTTTGTGTCTATATCTCTGTGTGTATTGGTTCCTCCTAAAGTCTTGAATAGGAATTAGATTTGTGTAGAAGAAAGGCTTTTTTCCTGGCACAAAAAAGAGAGCATACAGCCATTCAAGAGATTCTTGTGAAAGAGAAGTGGCTGTTCTTAGAAATCATAGAGCAATAATAGAAATCAGAGAGAAGTAGGGCTGGATGGGACCTCCAGATATCATCTAGTCCTCCTGCCTGAGGCTGAATCATCCCTATCCAAAATATCTTATACAAGTCCATAATCTAACTGCTTAGTAAAAGTACTGTCAACACTGATCCAACACAAGACAACACCCTACCGTGCCACACACAAAGCAGGGGGACCATGGCAGCCAGCGTTCTGTTTCTGTAAAAGGTTATGCTCAAAAGATCCCAGGCAGAAAGCCACACTCCCTCTGCTACAAAAAAAGGCAAAACCCCCTACAGTTCCTATTCATCTGACAATGAGGTAACTCCTTCCTAACTTTAAATCTGGCAATCAGTTTTGACCCAGAGCAGAGGGACAAGACCCTCTGGTCAGGAACCTCCAGGTTTAAGTCCCAACAGGAGCACTGGCATAGCCCATCCTAAATCTGCAGCCGTGGCTGTTGCCAGCATTTAGTGCCTCTGAGGAAGTCTTAAAGACAAAGAAAACACACCTGACACACACAGTTGAAAAAGGGGGCAAGATTCCCTCCCAGCCCCATGCAGCTTCCACAAGAAGTTAGATCAGATACCTGTGAGGAAGATCCTCCTCCCAATATAACTTGAATGGCTGTATGCTTCTCTCAGGTATGGAGTATACCCAATAACACAAGGTACTTTTCTCTCCCTGCCTCCCTTCAAAGGAAAGGGAGTGGGGGAGAGTACCAGCTCCCTGATAGCCCACCCAAGGGTAAGCTGTCATGGAGCCCTGTGGGGACCCTTCCCCTGTCCTACCAATCCATTGATTGGCAGGCCAGGCAGGGGCACTTTCTTGTGGCAGGTACCCTCTAGGAGTCATAGGAGGGTTCCTGATATGAGACAAGAGTCCCCACCTCATCCACACTTTTTTATTGGGGCTGGAGTCCTCCCAGAACCCCGGGAGAATGCTCCTACCCCAATTCCCAGCTCCACAGGTTGTAAGTGTTGCCCCTGTTGCCCAGCTGAGTGGCAGTTTCAGAGCCCACAGAGCTAGGAACTGAGATGGGGAAACTATCTCCACCCCCAGTTCCCATCCCCCCAGGCTTTTAATGCACCCCACTGCCCAGCTGAGAGGTGCAAGCAGCAATTTAAAAATCTGTAAGGCTGAGATCTAAGACCGGGGAAACTATCCCTACTCTGGTTACCAGCCCTGTGAGCTTTAAATGCTGCATGTGCTACCCAGAAGATTTAAAAGGTGATTAAAAACCTATGGGACTGCTTATTGATAGCCTGCCCCTGTTAAGTAGTAAGTGCATGGTGGCCAAGAGAGCAGTTCTCTGGTGTCCCCTGAGTGGAGAGCTTGCCTGTGTAACTTTCCAGCCAGGGATCTGAAGCACATGTATGCTCCAGCTTCTGGGCTATTTCTCTATCAATAAGAATTTCAGAGACATTTTTTCAATCAAAATAATCAAATCGAGAGAAATAATCAAAAATACAAATATAAAATGGGTGACACCTGTCTGGGTGGCAGCACTACAGAGAACGATATGGGAGTCTTGTTAGGTCACAGACTCAGTGTGTCTGCAGTGTGATGGAGCTGCCCAAAAGGTGAATGCTGTTTTGGGATCAATCAATAGAAGCATAGGTTCAAGACATGGGAGATGATAGTGCCATTCTACTCAGCATTGGAGTACTGTGTGCCATTTTGGCCTCCACAATTTAAAAAGTACATGGAGAAGTTCAAGGGTCTGGAGACAGGTGACAAAAATGATAAAGGGCTTAGAAAGCAAATCCTATGAGGAGAGGTGGAAGTAGCGAAGCATGTTCAGCTTTTGGAAAAGGTGCTTAAGAGGACATAATAGTAGTCTTCAAATGCCTGAGGAGCTTCCATAAAGAAGAGGAAAACACTTTTCTTTCTTGCTATAGAGAGCAGGATGCAGACCAGTGGCTTGAAAGTACAGCAAAGTAGGTTTAGTTTTGTATCAGGAAGCACTTCTTCACTGTTAAAACAGCGAGGCACTGGAATAGGTTGCCTAGGGAAGTTGTAGAATCTCTGGGTCCGTATCTTCTACTCTGGGTATTTCCCATGCTTCTGGGTTTTACTGGTTGCCACATGAGGATGGGAGGGAATTTTTTCTTCTTCTTGCTGCTACATATATCAGGGTTGGTTGGTTAGTTGTTTTTAAGCCTTCCTCAGAGGCATTCTGTGTTGGCTACAGCCAAGAGTGGGGTGTAGGATTGCTGGAATTTAAAGTCAGAGGTTCCTGGCTAGTGGGTCTTGCCCCTCCACTCAGGGTCAGACCAATTACCATATTTAGGATCAGGAAGGAATTTTACTCAATGGCCAGGTTGGTACAGACTGTAGGGGTTTTTGTTTTCCTCTATAATGAGGGGTGTGGCCCTCTTCCTTGGATCTCTTGAGCATCTCATTAGCAACCTTTGCAGCTGCCATGGTCCCCCTGCTTTACCTGTAGCAGATGTTGTGTTCTGTGTTGTGTCAGGTTCACTGTGTACTTTTGCTAAGAAGTTAGACAATGGATTTAGTTTGGGATAAGTTGGGATAAACCCCCTCAGGCAGGGGGTTGCACTGTATGATCTCTTATGGTCCCTTCCGATCATGGCCGGATCTAGGATTTTGAAAAGAGGGGTGCAGATGGTGTGGCACCTCATTGCATAGAACACAACACACATTTTACTCCACTTAAAGAGAAACCAGATGCTTTACTAATGTGCTAGGGGCCTACCACTATATTACTTGGTTTAAGATCAAAGAAAAATATAACTGTTGGAATGTGCACTTATTTGTTAGATTATATATAAAGTTCAAACAACACAACAAACTAGACAAAAAATGGTCAGAAGATATTGTGTCAGTAGTTCTGTTGTCATTATAGTGAAATATACAACTCCTATTTGGATTCATAAAACAAAATCTAGACTTCTTGAGCATCTTGATCATGCACCATCAATCATTTCTACACCTGAGTTAATGATACTACGCCTGAGTTAAGGTTTTTAGCTAGAGCTAAAAATAATCTGTACAGCTTTGAAATAAAGACATTACAAGGAATGGCTAAGAGACAGCAAAATTGTAGAAGAAAGGATAGTTTGAATAGTGAAACATCAAGACCATTGAAAAGGAGAGACGGTCGTTACCACTTGTGGAGTGGAGAGAGATTAGCTGGAATCAGGGAGATGATAGTGAGTCATCAAGCCAATTAACTCTTAGCACTGCCTGAGTAGAAATGCTGCTGCGCTTCCTAGGCAGTTGGTTTTAAAGTTTGGGTGGAATAGGTATGTTGGGTGGAACATCTGGACCACTGCATCCCCCCTGAATCTGCCCCTGCTTCCAGCCCTGTTTCTCTATGATTTTGTTTACAGAAAACCCTATATAAAGGATTAAACTCATGAAAACTGACAACAGGTAGAATCTAGCTGGAATCTTTCACTTGTATCAGTTGATTTTTATTTAATAATTTCTTTTTAGGATTGTAAGAAGACTGAATATGATGCCTGCATAGTTGAGCACTGTCTCAGTGCAGTGGAGTGGGCTTATCGAATGCTTCCTTTCTCTAGATTCATGAATGTTGAAGAACTAGTTCAAGATATAATTTTGAGTCTTGTTGGAGAATTGCCACCCATCAGAAAGGTAAAAGAAATTAAAATGTAAAAAAAATCTTATCACAAGGTTTTAGTTTCATTCAAATATTAGTTTTTAGCACTCAGTGTAAATTCTGTTGGGGGTCTTACTATCACTTACTTCCCAATGGCTGTTTAAGTGAGCCCTTAACTTTTATTTTGTATAGGTGGCAGAAATTTTGGTGAAAGCATTTCCTAATCCTGAAGATATAAGAGTTCCATTAAGGGATAAATATTATGCCCTTCAGCAGCGACTCAGGCACTGTATCGTCAGAGGTAAGGTGCATTATTCTTCAGCAAATATGAAACCAAACTGGTTTTGATGTTTCTTAGGAGCAGTAGTCGTATATAGCATTTATATTTCTATCCTTCAGATCAAGTATTAAACAGTTCTTTGTCCAGGTGGAAATTTGACATGTCTGGGGGAACTTGAGAAGGAGTATTAAACAAGAAGAGAAAGGAAAATATTTACCCTTTTTTGACTATCATCTGCTTGGCATAATCAGTTAACTGTTTGCATTTGTCCCTCAGTTTTCATGCGTACAATTTAGTATTCTATTTTGAAACTTTAGATACTTGATTTTGAACAATAATTACAGGATTTGTTTCAGATACTTGAAATAAACAGGGAAACTGAATGATGGACCATTACAACTATAGAGGAAATAGTGAAAGTGGTTTGAGTACAAGAGTAGTATTTTTAGTGTAAGCAAATCTGGAGGGAGGGATTTCTTCTATCTTTCCTATCTGGTGATCATAGTTGTCACTTATAACAATGTTAGATACATTTTCTCACATAAATATAACTTTGAAGTGCATTGTGTTTGTTTAATAAGGAAATAAATAGTGAATAAAATTAAATGTATATATTTCTAAATGGCTAGAACTTACCAGTGATAATAAAGTAAAGAAGATTCGAGAGAATTCCTTGATAACTAGATTCCCAAGTACTAAAAAATTCATCTTTATTCTTCTGAATTTGTGAAGTTCATTATGGAAAATACATCCTATTTCCTTGTAATTGTGGATTGCATGTGAAGAATATGTATTCTGCATTTTAAAAATACCATCTCTTTTTCTTTCTTTCATTTAGGTCCCAAAAGTGAGGAAATGATGTCTGTTGTTATTGAGGTTACCCATAACGTGAGGCTGAAAGCACTGAAACGTGTAATAAGAAATATAGGTCCCCCTGAAATGAGTATCTGGGAGCCATCAGAAGAGGAGACTCCAGATGATGAGGCACACTGCTATGATAGATTCTCATTAGGGACCAGTCTAAGCAGAAGTACACTTACAGATTTTGGATATCCTCTTGTACACAGTGATGCTGAAACTGCAGATACTCTCTCTGAGGTTTTACTTATAGAAGAAGCAAGAGATCAGGTGCCTTCACTGGAGAGGTAAAAAGAAAGTAATAAATTGGAACATTCAGTACAACAAAAAAATAAAAAAAAAATCTACTGTAAGATTATTTCTTACCTGATATCACATGCCTTCCTCAGCTATTGAATATGCAGAACTTTACTCAGGCTTATTTAACGTATGTCTCTCTCGTATTTTTAATGCATTTATTACATAATCATAAAAGTAGGCTGAGGGAAGGAGCTTTCAAGAGAGACGGAAGTCATACTGGCAGAGGGAGACAAGGGGCAAGGGCAAGAAATTCTGGAGGGGAACACTTTTTAAATTTAAACTAGTTCAGAGTATTTGTCAAACTGTACTTTTTTAACCTAGACCTCTTCATTCTTGTTTCTTACCTGCTCAAAAACACAGTTTTGTGTAATAATGAGATTAGGCTGTTAAATAATCCATCTAAATTTAAAATGGAGTGGTTTATGTATTTAAACAGACCACTTTAGCAGCAGCTACTGTGACTGGTAGCTGGAAATATGGGGTGTATTCTGGGCCTGTTAGTCTGTCACCTGTTCATTCATTAAATTCACCAGAGGCTTCGCTAGGGTACTTAGCCCCCATCATCTTCTATGACCTTTGCTTCTCTTAAGTATGCTACCTAAGACATAGCAGATTCAGTTAAATTTAAACCTATATTCTGTTCCTGAGATCTCTGCCTTCTAGGGTATGTCTGTTTTTATATAACAGAAGGAAAGAAAAGAACAGCTGCATGAATTGAATTTTTCATTTAATAATTTATTTCAAAGCAGGATTCGTTTCAGAGTTAGCTATATTTCTCCTTGTTTCTTTTGCTACGTTGCAGAGACACAGAGACTCGCAAAGGAGGAAAAGATGATAAGATAAAAGATCTTAATAGAAAAACAAAACATAAAGAAAAAGTACACAGTAATGCCTTTCGGAATCAGTATAATTTGCCTGTGGTAGGTGCATGGGAATTTGAACGTGATGATGAAGAGTATATTAATTTCTTAGAACTCTTTTTGAGTTATATGCTTGAAAGAGACTTGATAAATTGCCCTGATCCTGGGATTCCTTTTCTGACCAGCTTTTCTGGACTCCTTCGGGAACATGAACTAAACTCTCTCCTTTTTGATGTACATACAACATTGAAACGTCGAATGGAGAAAACTACAAGCCAAAATGTATTTAGAACGGGTTGCTGCTATACTGTTGTTCCTGCATCTTGTGATTCCAAACCAACTTCTGTTTGTAATAAAAAGCAAAAACATTTGGAAAGACAAATGTCTTTTTCAGTTTTACAGCCAACAGAGCCTTCTTTGTATGACTCTGTGAATGGAATATGTAAATATACAGGAAAGAAGGGATTATTTGGTTTAAGTTATCAATCAGTTTATAGAGTGCAAGATGATAAACAAGAGTTAACTGTTCCACCTGTAACCCAAACCTTATCAGACCACGCTTGCTCTTTTCTGCATACTCCAGCAACTTGTAAATATGTCTACGAAATAATTCACCAGGATATTATACCAAGAGAAGAACTTGCTCTAGACCTGAAGAATAAGTTCAGCAATATTGCAAGATTGCTTGAATGGATGATCAGATGGTCTGACAAGAGGCTACTATGTGATTCCAACAGAGTTGAGTCATTTCAGGAGAGCTACCCAGTGATGCATGTGAAAACATCAGCAGCTGCCATACTTACATCACTATGGCTCTTGAAACAACCATACTATGATGGATTGCAAACAAGGACCTCAAGCTTTAAGGTAAGAAACAGAATGGAGTAGGTGTCAGAGGATGGATTTTTAATTACATTGACTCAAAATTTAGATAACTGAATTCCATATCTCAGATTTTGTATATTTATAGGTACTCTTTGGCTATCCCTTGATATAAGGAGGATGTCTGCTGAGGGGGAGGGAAATTATTGGTGAGTTTAAGATGGCTGAAGAGTCCAATCCATGCTCTACAAGTTTTTCCACAGATATGACAGGTAGTGCGTTGGGGTGGGCACTGCTGTTGGCCACGATGCTGCGTGCTTTCCTTCCTCTGCTGGCATTTCTCGGCTTCCTGAGCAAGATTGTTCTCCCTGAAGTTAATTGTAGCTTGTTGTCTGGTGCAGCGCCATGGAGACCTGTTACCAGTCACACTTCCCAATTTGTAGGGTTGATGCCACCCTTCTTAAGGTATGCTTTCAGGGTCTCCTTGTAGTACTTCTTCTGTCCCCTGTGGGTCTTCTTACCATGACTTCTGGAACTGGGGTTGAGAGAGGAGGACTTGTTTCGGGAGACAAATGTCAGCCATCTGCATATGGTGGCCCTCCCAGCAGAGTTGATGTCTCATTGCTTCAATGCTGGTTATGTTAGCTGCAGAAAGGATGTACAGTGGTCTTCCCATCTAATGCGAAGGATCTTCCTGAGGCAACACCGATGGGAACCATTCCAGGTATTTAAGATGGCTCTGATATGTCACCCATGTCTCATATCCATAGAGGAGCATGGGGATAACCACTGCATTGTAGACCAGGATCCTCAGTTTCTATCTGCAGATCTTGGTCGGCAAAGACATGGTAAAGCAGCTTTCCAAAGGATATGCTGACACAGCGAGTCCTATATTCAATTTCTACATCAAGACTGACTGACCGGGAGAGGTAGATGTCAAGGTATGGGAAATGCTTGACCTTTGCCAGGGGTTCTCCACCAGTGATAATTTGTGGGGGGAGGGGGGAAGCTTATACTGAGGCAGGCTGATGGAGCACCTTGCTTTGAAGGTGCCACAGGCTGAAAAGCTGACTGTCCATTCGATACTCAACCCCAGTTCCAGAAGGAAGGTGGTCAAGGATGAGAAACAAAATCACAACAAGATAAATGGGTTGAGGCGATGATGCAGCCCTGCTTGACACCAGTATGGATTGTAAATGGGTCTGTTTCTGATCCACTGCAAAGGACTGGTGGTCATTCCATCATGGAGTAGCCTGAGGATGCTGATGAACTTCGGTGGACGGACAGCTAACCCTAGCTAGCACCTTCCATAAAGCTTCGTGATTAATGGAGTTAAAAACCTTGGTTGTCAATGAATGCCATAAACAGCTCCTGCTGTTTTTCTTTACACTTCTCCTGGATTTGTCGTGCAACAA